CGTTTGCTTGAAGATATGACTTTTATCTTGTTTTTTTTTTTAATATTCGGTGCCAATACTTATGTGATTATATATTAGGTGATTTGACAATTTTGTTGACAATTGGGTGATGCGTAGGAGGCAATGATTCGTATAACTACTACAAGTGCAATTCCTGTATGATGTAATGCAAGTATGTAAAACTTTAAGAGCAACCTCGTACCCAGGGCTAGCCGCGAGTTGAAGGCAGCGACGTATCTGCCTTCAAGGTTGCTTTAAGAGAACGAGGTTGCTTTATGAGCTGACGTCATCAACGGTCGCTGATTTCCATGTGCGACATCAAGTATTTTAAAAATTACAAGCAAATGTAGAAAGTATAGGAAGGAAATTACATACGTTCTGTGCCGATAATAACCATAGTATTTGGTGTAGACCATGTTCCAGGTGAAGCGCATTAGTGTATGAAGCGCATTTCTAGTGTATAGAGTGGCGTCCGTAAGAATAATTTATGTACTTAGAGCCGTTGTACATCAATGGGAGTGGTCAATGTTCTTTTCCGTCAAATATTCTGACTTTGCGCGCCGTAAAATATAAATACTCTTTCTTGTAATGTTGAGAATTCAATACTAACCGCCCGAAGTGAACTAAATATGAAATAAAATGTTCGTTATGGTCGTTAGCCTTTCCTCAGTATTATATACAGACTATATGCTGTACGCTAATTGAATGGTCTTTGCCAGTGTAGGTATATAGGGAGTGGCAATAATAAGAAAGCTTGGGATTGATAAGAATACAACTACCAGAAAAATACAAGGAGACCTTCGACGTTTCGAGCGAAGGTCCTTCGTCGGGTAGTTGTTTCGCTCGAAACGTCGAAGTTCTCCTTTTCAGGTAGTTGCTAATTGATTCACAAGATGGCATTCTTCGCCATAATATGATTATTTTTTTTTTTTTTTGAAATTCTCGGCTAGCCACATCCTCGTCCCCAGGGCCACGCTCGTTGGATGGGCTAGCCTTGGTGTTCTTTTTATGCCTGTTTTCCACTTCAACCGAAGCGTATTTCTTTGTTTCCTGAGCGGTAGTGTGGAACTAATGACTTCGATACAAAAAAATGCTACGATACGTTACGGTTGAAGTGGAAACGAATCGTATACCTATACATCATGTAGTTTTAGATACACATACAAAATACGTCATTTTGTGCAAAAATATTTATTAAAAACAAAGCGATGTGCATGAATTACATACTCTACAAGTTGAGAGCTTTAAATATTAGTAAAAATAAGCAATTCCAAGAATATTAGAATAAAAAACTATTCTTCAAAAATATTAGTAAAAAAGTTATAAGTTTTAGAATGTAGTGCAGTTCATTAAAAATGTGCAACAAAAGTCATTTCAATCCCTCGAAGTTCACAAACTGGTATCAGGCTATAAAAAACAAAAATAAATCATTAGTATACAAGGCTCAAAATGTAAGATTTCAACACACGTATGTATCTTTTATTTCTATGGATTTCTATTTAACAAATAGATAAGATTTTGCCGTTGTCTGTTCAGTTATAGATACACAATATGACGTCATAGTGTGGGAAGAACAGAAGAGTGACTCACGAGTTGCCAAGGCCATGATATTGGCTACCTAGCCTGCGAACAGGCGTTTATTCAGGCGAGCCTCGTAATAATAAACGCCTGCCGGAGACATTGGAAGGTGACATGGGAACATATGATTGACATTAAGTAAGAGGTCTGCGTTTATTACTGAGGAGTGAGATCTGATTTATTGGTGCTGATTTATAGATGAATATAGTCGAGTAAATGCGAACAAGAAAAACATTAATGTTTTGGGCCAATTTAATGGGAGAAATATTTTGGATGTATTACATGTGAGATTATCAGGTTCAGTTCAGTTTATGTTTTCGTTTAATAAACGTATATCGAATACGTTTCTGTTTATGGCAACGATAAATGTTTTGCTTTTAATAATATGACAGTGTTTGCATGAAATGTATGTGAAGCAAATTGATTAGTCTGTAGATGCCTAGATGGCAATATTTTATATTTTGACAGCGACTGGACACATTTTAATGAATGTTCTAATTAAAATGTTAATGTTCTACATTAAAATGTTCTAATTTCGATACAGAAATCTTACTCATTCATTGCGGTTTATTCTGATAAACGAAATGACTCGTGAATATATTTGGATATCTCAAGAATGAAAAGAAATCCAGCCAGTTCCGCGTAAGAACACGGAGCTCGTTGATATTTTGAGCACTATTATGATTTCGAGTTTCTGACAGTTTCTTTCAAAATTATAAGGCATGCCGGCAGGCGTTTATTATTACTAGGCCCACCTGAATAAACGCCTGTTCGCAGGCTATTGGCTACCTTAAGTTACGTCACGTGGGACGATAATACATCTCTCTATAATACATCTCTCCTCTATAATACATCATGGCTCTCGACCAATGAAAGCGCTTGAATTCTTAACGTTATTATATAAATATATATATTCAACAAATAGATAATATTTTGCCGTTGTCTGCTCACTTATATCTACGCAGTATGACGTCATAATGTGGGAAGAACAAAAAAGTGGCCACGAGCCGCCGAGGCGAATTCATAATCTTGATATGTCGAGAATAAAATTTTGGGCTCTTACTATAAATATATGGTATTGCCTTGATAATGACTCTATGAAAATATTATGTAATATACTTACAGAGTTTAACTTACAGGAGGGCTAGTCGATGGAGAGTCATCGCCATTGGTTGTAGAATGATAAGCACTCTCAGTCTCAGATTTCATAGAACCTTTGGTAGTCACGGAACTGTAACTCTTCTCAGTTCTAATTGTTCCTCCTTTGTTATCATCATAAATAGGATTGATTTCATAAAAGCCAGATTTCGTATCACGTGGACTCTTGTAAGCAATCACCTCATCTCCCATCGAGTACTCATTTTGCATTTTGTAGCTTGTGGGGTTTCCAGGAGCGACTTCGTCATCTATACGTATGTCGTGATGGTAGCCATGTTGCCCACTACTTAACTCGTACTGACTGTGAACCAAGTATCTGAAAACAAAGTTATTGACTGAATGAAAATATGAAATGATTCATTTCTGTTTCGTGTGCACAAGTCAAATAACTTAAGGCCCACACAGACCGAACGCGATTCGACAACGCGACGCGAATTTTCAGTTAATAAAAAAAATTAAACCGTCAACGGATAAAAATTTCACAAGATATGCAGACCAAATAGCTAAAATTGCTTAAGTTGTTCCAAATATTTGAAAAACATAGAAAAATATTAAAGTTAAATGTCATTGAAAATTGAAAATTCGCGTCGCGTAGCCAATTCGCGTCCGGTCTGTGCGAGCCTTTACTGTAATTAAATACTAATCCTATAGAAGACTGATTTGAAGTGATTCATGCAGTATAGCTCCGACCCCGCAGATCGAAAACATTATTTCGTAAGTAATATACGTGATTTTCTCCACATGCAAAAATGACAAGTTTCGAGACGATAACGTTTACTGCAATACGTTCTTTAGAGTTTAGTAGTAATTAGACGGCTTGCAATGAATAAGTTCGGTACAGAGTATATGATAATATACATAAAAATGTTACGCGACTGTGATTGGTTGAAATTCTGTTTTATATAACGTAAATATACACATGAAGGTCCAACTTTAACCCTATTGTGTACGATAGATAAAGATATAACCCATTTCCAGTGCTCCATGTCGTTTTATGGTGAATATAAGTATAAAGTATTTATCTAAACAGACTGTCCACATCACCAATGTGCTTTTCAGCAAAGCTCTGTATGATTAGGTATTCTTTACATGCATAAAATCGTTATGGTCCTACTAAGAAGATAAAGAATTCTATTTAAAGGACATTGGCAACGAAAATTTTTATTGGCTATTTCAATCCTACTTGACAACCGAACTATGAAAATATTATCATTTCCTTCTTGAACATTTTAGTCTACGAGTAAAATGCATGCAAACTTTGTGTTTCGGCCAGTTTCGCCGCCATCTTGGAAAATATTTTTGAAAAATTATCTCGAAGGTCAATGAACTTTGTGACGTCATTGGCTGGGTAGCACCAAAACTACAAGAGAGAATTCTATTGCGTGCGTGTTATGTTAGCTAAAAATATGTCGTTTTGAGCGTTATACTGGCCAACACTCTTCGCAATCAAACAAGAGAAGTCTACACTATCAGATAAAAACATATCGAGCGACTGGGAAAGCAAGAAATGGCGCAATTTACAATGCAGGTAATTGATCATAAAATATTGCATTAGTATTTGCCTTGTTACACTCGAATTTCCGCGCTTATTTAACACGGAGTAGGATATATACTATGAGAAATAGTGTTACAAACAAGTTACATACTTGGTAAAACTTTTCTGCCTTTTGTTTTGGCTCAAAATGCACTACGTGTGGTAATACAGTATTGTTTATAGTCATGAGATTGTGTTTACCCAGCCAATGACGTCAGATAATGTATTTTGTGGCATAAATTAGCATACGCGCTTATTTTCAAAATGGCGGACAACTGTTCAAATTTTCTCAAATTCAATCAAATTTTCTCAGCAACTAAACGCGACAAACCGGCCAAAATATGAAATTAAATATTCCGTAAGTATACCTAATAGATATAAGTAATAAAAATTTTGGTTGCCAATGTCCTTTAACGCCGAATTAGGCAAGGTTGATTACAAGCTTGTAATCACCGAGCCTGAAGTGACCAATTATTTTAGTATATTTTCAGTGTTGAAAAAGTTTATTTATAAATGCAACTAATACACGTGTTTATTTTATGAATATAATTTGCATAAATAATCGACTTCCGTCTGATTTTACTGATCAGAGCAGTCTGAGCAGTAATTATTGCCTCAGAGTTACTGCTCGGGGAGCTCATCAGAATGCTGAAAGGCCATGTTTCAATACTGAAATTACTAACAAATAATATTATATTATATTATATTATATTTAATTACCTTTCTTTGTTGGATCCACCAGAACACTCGATACAACACAAAGCAATCACGAGAAGGAATATTATGACGAATAATGCTCCAAACACCACAGCATATACAATCCACCATTTATCTAGGAAGAATATACAAAATTGATTGATCACTATGTGCATCTACTCCGTTAGAAAAATAAACTTGAGTATAAGATGCATCATGATTGGAACAATATGCTAATTACCATATATAACTTCGACCGTATCCTAATATATACCTCCATGCACTATTTTTTGAAAATCACATGTTCTGCGTGTTTTAACGACATAGACATGTGCTCTGTTGAAATACAGCAAGTATCTGTGTTCAAATGTTTTAAAATTTTACTAAACTCTTAATTCAAGCCATTCCCCTGTACATAATATATATCTGGCGATTTTCTCGCTCTAATTCCGAATAGAAAAATATCGTCGAGAAGGATTCCAGGCAAACATATTTTGTCTTAAATTAGCTCTAAATAAGTAAAAAACAAAAACACCTAAAACAAAGAACGTTGGACAAGAATTTCGGCTGTTTACACCACTGAAATGAACATATAACTGAAAGGCTACTTCCAACCAATGATTAGAGTGCTCACGAAACAAAGCCAAAGTAACAGAATTATTACTCACCATCATCAGCTGCTTCTGGTACTGCTTGCAGCAGATTATCGAAAGTAGTTGGCGGAACACATGCCCCACTTTGTGTATTAACGTCACCTGTGCAGTGACATCTGTATCTGCCAACAACGTTCACACACTCTCCAAATCCGCCGCAATCAGCTTTAGGCAGGATATCATGTTGGAACGTACAATCGTTGTGATCTAAAGAAAATAAATATAGCTAAATTAAACGGTATACTACACCAAATGAACTTCTAATGTTTTTATGACACGACTTCAAACCTCCATGTGTCAAATGTCATCAAGCCCGTCTCTTGAATTCAGTAACATTTTGTGCTGCTAGTGTTCGTATAAATAGTAATGTTATTCGTTGACTTGTTACAGTATATTACTTGTTATACTTCGATATATTTTTGTACTATTCAGCTTAAATCTTTATTTATAATATTTTTGCATTTGTGTATTTTACGGGGCCTCGACTCTATGCATGGTACGCCCTACTCTATTGGGTAAAATATAAAATAACTAGACTAGCCTAACATGACTAGACTACCATGACTTGACTAACATGACTTGACTAACATGACTAGACTAACATGACTTGACTAATACGACTTGACTAACATGACTATATTAACATGACTATACTAACATGACTTGGACTAACATGACTTGACTAACATGACTTGACTAACATGACTATACTAATATGACTTGACTAACATGACTAGACTAATATGACTAGACTAACATGACTTGACTAACATGACCAGACTAACATGACCAGACTAACATGACTTGAATAACATGACTTGAATAACATGACTTGACCAACAGGACAAGACTAACATGACTTGACTAACATGACTTGACTAACATGACATGACTAACATGACTAGACTAACATGACTTGACTTGACTAACATGACTAGACTAACATGACTAGACTAACATGACTAGACTAGCATGACTTGACTAACATGACTTGACTAACATGACTTGACTAACATGACTTGACTAACATGACTTGACTAACATGACTAGACTAACATGACTTGACTAACATGACTTGACTAACATGACTTGACTAACATGACTTGACTAACATGACTGGACTAACATGACTTGACTAACATGACTAGACTAATATGACTTGACTAACATGACTTGACTAACATGACTTGACTAACATGACTTGACTAACATGACTTGACTAACATGACTTGACTAACATGACCAGACTAACATGACTTGACTAACATGACCAGACTAACATGACTAGACTAACATGACTAGACTAAGGCCCGTTTCAGACGGCGTACTCTTCATGTGCCGAACTTAATTGTATTAGATGCGACACAAGAACGGCAGTGATTCAAACGGCGTACCAAATACTATGTTATTGACAAGGTTAGGGCACATTCGCCAGCGAAACCTCAATAAAATTCAAAATAAATAAGTTTATTTTTAGACTAAAGTTGAGTTAAGTTTGGCACATGAGTGGAACGGCGTATGAATCAACGTCGCTCCAACGTCGCATAATGCGACAAGCTCTGCCGAACTTGTGTCGAATTTTTGCCGCTCCAAATTCTGCCGTACTTAATTGATTCATACGTCGCTCTTCTGCCGTACCTAATTAATCAATTAAGTTCGGCACATGAGAAGTACGCCGTCTGAAACGGGCCTAACATGACTTGACTAACATGACTTGACTAACATGACTTGACTGACATGACCTGACTAACATGACGAGACTAACATGACGAGACTAACATGACTAGACTAACATGACTAGACTAACATGACTTGACTAACATGACTAGATAGCATTGTTATGCACAAGAAACACTGTCTCAGGTGTGAAAGTGATGTGAAATTTTACCAACAACACACACGGTCACCATACTGGCCATGATGTGTGTGTTGTGAAAAAGGAACAAGGAAGAGAATATTTCGTATTAGAATCGTGTCCTTGACATTCTTCTGCAGTTCAAAACCTGAATAATTCATTTGTCAAATAAAACAGCTATCTTACCAAAAACACTGACTGTCCTTATCACGTATTGGTCACTCAGCGTTTGGTTGCCGTCGTCGTTGAGAGGAATATTGGCGTTGAGGAATATTTGTATGTGTGCCATGTTTATTGTGCTCGCCCGTCTCACATAAAACAGCAAGTGAACAATAACACTTCCTTGCCTGAAAAACAGAAACAGAAATTAGAATTACATATCATCTATAACTATACAAAGTTCTGTTCTTGGCTGGCACGCAAGAGATGGGGATAGGCACTGAGCTCAATCAGTTAACAGTTCTGCATGGAGTCGGTTGTGCAAACATCGGATAGTACAATCTACTGTTAAGATTTACAAAAACACCAGTTTGGAAAAATTTTGACAGAGAGAAACTTCAAGTTGTTTTATTCGAAGATTGGCAGTTGCAAGAATGATTCAAGAAGCTTTCAAAACCAGAAGTGCGGTAAAACGGGCATTTTTCTGGTTTCGCGATACGTCTAATGGCCATTAATTTGAAAAAAGCATTTCAAAATTAAGCTTCATTGCAAACTTTATGAGAATAATTTCTTTGTGTTCCAAAATTCCATAACTATCACTTGACAATCTACCTCAAAGCCTATATCTATTTAATTTGAATTTGCTCTACAATAAACTAGCAAGCTTTCTCTTGCTAAGCCACAGGCGTTGGTATAATTACAATATTAAAAAGGATTCGAAGCGCTACTTACGTATAGTCGAATACTTGAACACCTAGAATATCTGCTGCTGTATCATCAGTAGTACGGCGGTCATTCACCAACTTCATGATCTGTGGTAGAAAAAAAATCGGTATGTGATATTGCATGTATTAAATAATAAATTCTAAGCTTTGCTAGTAAATGTCATTCGTGGTCAAGAGAATGATAAGATTAGGCAATTCAATCCAGTAAAAAATAAACAACACACAATAGAAAAGAGAGCATCAGGTGGTTATTAAGGTACTTCTTAAACAACTTATTATACAGAGATTCAAATTTTGACTTCCGTTACCATTAACCAATCAGTTGCATGTATTTAATCTGCTAGATTGACCAATCAAATGTGTATTACGCCTGTGAGAAGGAGTGCTAGTCAAACCTGAACCTCTCTATTTTAGCTTAGTGGTCCAGTAAGGAGAACAGTTTAGAGCAATCTTAAGGTGTCTTATTGGTCCAGTAAGGAGAACAGTTTAGAGCAATCCTAAGGTGTCTTATTGGTCCAGTAAGGAGAACAGTTTAGAGCAATCCTAAGGTGTCTTATTGGTCCAGTAAGGAGAACAGTTTAGAGCAATCCTAAGGTGTCTTATTGGTCCTGTAAGGTCCAGTAAGGTCCATTCCTATTGTTCCTTGCAGTGCAGAAGGAACCCTGAGCAAACTTGTGGTGTTTGGTAAAACTGGAAATACCCTACTCGTGAATGACTTATATAATCAGACACCTACACATTGCAGAAATCGATTCCTAGTCAAGAGGTGAAAGGCCTGTGACAAAAAATCCCTACAAACACCAACTTGGTCTACTAGGATCCCCATCTGATTCTAAATAATTAATTGATGTTTTTTATGTTACTCTGAGTGTATATCCACACCGGGCAGGCTGAAAAGTTAGCCTGACCACGGTGGGAATCGAACCCGCGACCTTTGGGATACTAGTCCAATGCACTGCCAACTGAACTACGAGGCCAAGTCTGTTCGAGTGTGTGGTATTTCGGAACTGAGTCTAGTACCTTCGATACCAATGAGTTATGCCTGCCCGGTGTGGATCTACACTCAAAGTAACATCAAAAACATTATATTCACCTGAGTACATAACATCAAAACACACACAAAAAATAACATTAATTGAATTACAAAAAAAACACACAAATTTAAACACTTGCTTACCGATTCCTCAATGTCTTGCGAAACACTGGTATACATGACGGTCTGTGGATTTTCCAGATCAGGATTGAAGGTCAGGCCTTTGACGACTGCGAGTGTTCCTTCATACACATTGCTTTCTGGAAAATAAAATAAGCAATTGTCCGAGTTAAAACCGTGATTAGTAACCTAATATGAAGTTACAACTTCAAAAAGGCTAGATTTCATAATGGACGACTTGCGCTTTGGACTAAATTTTAATCTAAGTAAGAACAACGAAATCTATCACCACAGCTAGAAAGAGCGTCTTGGAATTAGTAATATTACAAAGTTTGGTTGCGAAATGTTGTAAAATACGGAAAATATAGCCCTTCAAAGTTGGCAAATTTGTATACTTTTGTATTACGTGCGTGAATTGGTAACTAAATTAGTTACCAATTTCCCCACGTAATAGAAATGTATACAAATTTGCCAACTTCGCAGGGCTATATTTTCCGTATTTTACAATATTTCGCAACCAAACTTTGCAGTTTTTCTAATTTTGATAACTTCTTTCCGAAAATATCCTTTGTTATTCCCAGATAAAAAAATTTTCTAAAGCGCAAGTCGTCCATTGATATAGATTTTCGTCAGAAAACAAGATGAATATAGAGTAACATATACAGGAATTAAATGAATTTTCAAGTCGTTTTTTTATTAATGGTAAGGTATACAATAATGTTATTAATTATCCTATGCATAATCAGTCACAGGCTAGGCAGTATGTGGCCGTATATACAGCTAATAGTATATGTAATTGATAGTCTAACCACAGAATAGACTACACAGAAGCCCGACTTCTTGGTTTTTCCTATGACTTTCCAACGATTTTGGCTTAACCGTAATCCGTCATCAAAATGTTGACGCCATGGTCGTAGTCAGTGCGCGTTTGAGAGGCATTCACCCCCCTGATAATATTCAAAATCGCTGACGTCCAGGGGGGAATGCCTCTCAAACGCGGACTGGCTAGGACCATGGCGTCAGCATTTTGATGATGAATCCTGGCGTGGCAGCGATTACTCGAGTCGACCTTCTGTGTGTCTTTATTGACTTTATTCTGTGGTCTAACGCTCTGCTACAGACCATTTTGGTATCGGTGTGATTTTCACCCATTTTCACGATTGTATTTGCTCGTCTAACCCAATTCTATAGCAAACCCGGCAGAATTCATTGGATTTTTCAACTTTTTAACGTTAAAAAATTGTCTGTAGGACATATGGTCAACTCCTTTGAGAATTAAAGGCACAGTTCAGCCTTTTGAGTGATGGTCTTTAAGGCACATTAAAGCCCTTTTAATTGAAAGAACTAACTAGGAAAATCAATTATGTATTATTCAAGATCAGTAAACACAATGTTTTTAACAATACAAATGTTTTAAAATGTTAAAAACATTAAAGTTTACTGATCTTGAATTATGCTTAATTGATTTTCCTAGTTAGTTTTTTCAATTAAAAGGCCTGAAACGCCCCTTAAAAACCATAATTCAAAAGGCTGAACTGTGCCTTTAAAGTCACTTGATTTGCATAAATGTGCTAACATACATGCATAAACAATTTCATAATAATATACACGCCCCAGCCTAGACCTAGGCCTTCTATTTTTATTTATATTTTTTTAATATTCAGCGCTTTTTCACATGAAAAGACTGGGACTAGGTGATTTGGGAGCGGGGCGGAGGAAGGACACAAGCCTGACGCAAGCGAAAA